AGGTGCCCGGACCCCGCGGGTGGAAGGCAGTGCCACGGGGTCCGCACACCCTCAGCCCCAGGGGGGACCGGGCTCCGGCCTCCCCACATTTCCTTGGGGGAGGTGTGTGTGTGTGTGTGTGTGTGTAGGGGGGCAGGGAGGTGTGTGTATGGGGGGGGGGTAGCTGACACCATGTCACCTCTGCCCTGTAGCCCTGCGCCCTGCACGCGCTGCACTTTTCCTTCATCTTGCACTGGAGGCCCATGCCGGACATTCATGCCCTGGGGGGGGGGGGCTCCCTCAGCCCCGCCTGCACCCTTTAGCAGCCTGGGGGCCCTCCGGGATGTCGGGGAGCGGCTCCGCCACCACCCAGGGCTTGCCAGCTGGCTTGTGGCTGAGGGGCGCCCCCTGGGGTCAGCTCCTGCATTGAGCGCTGCCCCCTGGTGGCCAGTGCGGTCATAGCGACCCGCTGTCCGGTCTTTGGGTGGTAATGTCGCTTAGGCTTTTATAGAGAGAAGGTGGACACTCCATGCTCACTGTCCTAAGCGTGGCCTTACCAACCTCCTTCCAGGCCTTCCCTCCAGCCCGGCCCTCTCGCCATAAGTGGGAGGCAGAGGGGGGCGGGGGCCTTGTGACTGAGGTGGGACTGAGACCCGCACCCACGTTAGAACTACCTTTCAAGGGACCCAAAGGATGCGGCCACCATGGGCCTTCTGTGCGCTGGAGCCGGAGTGAGGACTGTCTCGGTTTTCTCTTTTTTTTGGGGGGGGGGGGGGGGGGGTACATATTGGATGAAGTGGGATTTGGTCCATGGACAGTGGAGACAGACTCATGAAGAAAGACAAAAAAACATATTTTGATGTGCTTATTCACCATTCATGTTTCTTCTCAGAAGTGCTTGTTAACTGCCATTGTTTTCAAATTTTCACTTTGTCCTTTTCTCATCGATCTTTAGGAATTCTTTACATATTCTGGATTCTAATTCTTTGTCAGTTATATGTGTTATGAATATCTTTGCCCAGCTTGAAATTTATCTTTTTATATTTTTATGCTATATTTTTATATACACAGATTATTAATATAATCAAATTTGAGTTTTAATGTCATTAAATCTGTCCGTCTTTCCCTTTATGGCTTACACTTTTTGTGTCTTGTTCCATAAAGCTTTCTAGGGGCCGCGTGAGGAAGAGGGTAGAGCCCTACACGAGGAAAGCCACCGGCCAGCGCCCTGCCACCATGCCCAAGAGGAAGGCAAAGGCGGATGCTAAAGGCGACAGAGTGAAGGGGAAGGAGGAGCCGCAGAGGAAGTCGGCGCGGTTGTCTGCTAAGCCTGCTGCTGCTGCAAAACCCGGGCCCGGGCCCAAACAGGCCCCTGCAAAGAAGGGGGAGAAGCCGCCCAAAGGCCGAAAGGGGAAAGCAGATGTCGGCAAGGATGGGAACAGCCCTTCCAGAGCCCGAGAGGCCGCCGCAGCCCAGTCGCAGAGAGCGGAAGGCACCGGGGATGCCCAGTGAAGTGGACTTTGCTCATAGCTCTGTGCTTCTAATGCTCTACTATTTGAAATACTATTTTTTAAATCAAATTTTATAAAACTGCGGGGTTGTGGTTTTTTTAAATGTTAGCATGAAGACACTTTGTTGTTGTCTTTTGTGGAAAAGGCAAATACCACTGATAGTGTTTAGCAGCTGGATAAAAACGCGGGAAACGGGGTTTCTGTCCTCGTTTTTGAACATTATTCTCGGTTCCGTGCGCCAGCCGCTTTGGCTCAGGAGACGTACCGTGTGGGGAAGCCAAGCATCGCGTCTTCCTTCCTGACCCCTCAGCTCAGGACGTGGCCTCGGCTCCCCGGCCGGCGGCTGTTGGGTAGCAGCGCTCAGGCTTCTGGGGATGAGGGCGCTCAGGCTTTCTGGGGATGAGGGCGCGATGGTGTTGCTCAGAAGAGCCGAGGTTTCTGTTTCCAGGTTGTGGATCGGCTTTCTGGGGATGAGGGCGCGATGGTGTTGCTCAGAAGAGCCGAGGTTGTGGATCGTCCCATGGAGAATCCTGCAGCTTTAGAATCTCTTCTCCATGGCAGAGCTGACTGTGAACAGCTCTTAGATGCCGCCTATAAAATCTCTCCCTTCTGAGAGCTCTTCCTGTTCAAAGCAGCAACGGAAGATTTGATTGACTTTTTGAGGAGAGGCTTTTGGAAGCTGTAAAATTTGTGTGTGTGTCTGTGTGTGTGGAAGTTGTAAAATTTTATAGATTGTTACCCATATTCTGCTGGAAGTAACAGAGGTTTTTGTTTTGTTTGTTGTTGTTCATTTGTGTGTGTGTGTGTGTTTAAGTACCTGAAAAAGGGGGAAAGCAAATTGGCAGTGGGAGGGGGACCATTTCCTACCCAAATTCATGGAGATATTATCATAGAGATGCCTTGTAAAAGTTGTATAGTTGTGCTTTTCCCATTTATCCTTAGCCTTTCTGAACTGATTTTTGTGACACATGCGTGGTAGATGTTCAATATATTTTTTCCATATGGATAAGTGGTCATCCCAGCACCATTTTTTGAAAAGTTTATCCATTCCTCCACTGATCGGTAATACTGCTCTTTCATAAATCAAGTTTCTGTGTGTGTGGAGGGGGAGGGGGGGATCTGATGGTGGCTTCTAGTTTAACTGACCGGCCAGTTTGTCTAACCTGTGGCCGTGCTATACAATCCTGAGTACTACAACTTTTAAAAAAATCTTGATATCTCAGGACAAATCCAACCCCCACCTCCAGCACCTCCGCCAAAGTTTTCTTCCTTGGGAGTGTCTTGACTATGTTTAGCTAGGCAAGTTCTAAATCAAACAAACAAAAATGTGTTGGAATTTTATTGGATTTGTATTGAACTTGTAAATTACAGTGTTGAGTCTTTCAATCTATGAACCTAGTATAGCTTCGTTTATTTAGGATCTTTAAATGTCTTTCAATAAAGTTTTATAATTTTCTCCATGAATATCTTCTTTTGTTAATATTTCCTAGGGACTTTATACATACTTTTTGATTCTATTTTATTTATTTATTTTTATTTTTTTAAAATATATTTTTTATTGATTTTTTACAGAGAGGAAGGGAGAGAGATAGAGAGTTAGAAACATTGATGAGAGAGAAACATCGAGCAGCTGCCTCCTGCACATCTCCTACTGGGGATGTGCCTGCAACCAAGGTACATGCCCTTGACCGGAATCAAACCCGGGACCTTTCAGTCCGCAGGCCGACGCTCTATCCACTGAGCCAAACCGGTTTCGGCAGATTCTATTTTATATGGCACATTTTTAGTTAACTACATTTTGTTTTTAGCAAAAGTTGATTTTTGTATCCAGCAACTTTGCTAACCTCTCATTAATTCTTATATTTGTATATTCTTTTGGGTTTTCTACATAGACAATCATGGATTATTCTGTATATGCAAACAATTTTGTTTCTTTACCACCATATACCATTTTTCCTTTTTCTAATGCTAGATATTGTCCAGGTGCCCAGGGAGTGGGTAGGAAGTACAACAGTGAACAAAACAAAGTTTCTGCTCCTACCAAGCCTATATTCTAGTGGGGTGGGTGCGGTAGGAAATACACACACTTATGTGACAGGGGGACTTAGACGTGTAAGTGGTGCTACTTTGATAGGGTGGTTGGGTGATATTCCAGTAGAGTGAAGGGGAATGTAAGACATTTGGGGGCAGCTAGCAATCTGAGTCTGTGCCAGGAAGCTGCCTTCCAACGCACACTCTTGCTGGCTGATAATTAACTCCTTTGATGCCTGTCCTGTCTTGCAGAACCTGTTTCCCAGAATATCCCTTTTTACAGAGGCCATAGACCAGGAACCATACACAACCCCCAGAGGGGTTATCAGCACTGGCACCAGGCCAGACCTTTGGGTGTAATCTCACGTCCCCCATCCCAAACACGGGGCTTTTCGCAGAGCCCATGAAAGGTCCAGAAGCCTGCCATATTTGGGGGACAAAGAAACCAAAGGGCATAAAGGGAAAGCTTCCTCCATATTCATCACTCAGGGTTTGGAGAAACAGACTCCCCTGAGTCACTGTACTAGTACACCTGAAAATAAATGGGTTTTTCCTGAATCTCTGAGTACTCCTTGTGTATTTTCCGATCGCCTGGTAAGTTCTGTAACAGAGCACTTAATGAAATAAGAGAGCAAGAGATGTGACTATGAGGGGAAAGCATTCCAGCGGAGAGAATAGCAAATGCAGAGGTGAGGTGGAACTAGACATGCTGAGGAAGAGCCACGAGGCAGGAGTGGCTGAATCGGAGTGAGGTTAAGAGTGATATTGATATGATTGCAGAGATGGCCAGGGGCCAGAACATGGATGATTCTCCAGGCTTGATTTTTCTCTGTGATAGGATACCATTAAAATTTTGAACAGAGAAATGACACAATCTAAGGTATGTATGTGGCTGATGCGTGAGCTGTGTGTGTAAGGGGGGAAGAGTTAAAGGAGAAAGACCAGTTAAATACAGGTTTCCCACTTCAAATTCACCCTTTTGCAAATCCTCAGTTACTTCAAATATTTTTTTTTGCTAATTTCTCCGAAGATTACTGTGGAAATTGGATGAAGATCACTTGGAGAATGTGTGGTTGGTCTTGGACAATGTAAGCCTCCACAAACCCAGGAAGCACGTGATCTCGTTGGTGAGACGAGGCATTCCTTACTATTCCTGCAACCATATTCTCCAATGATGAGGCCCACTGAAGAAGTCTTTTCAAAGGTTAAGTTCTGCACAAGAAATATTTTGGCAGATCCTTCAAACCATGAATGTTTAACAAATGTTATTAAATCATTCTGTAGCGACTATTACGCCTGAGGATTGTCACAATTTATGAATATGTATATGAAACTGCCACAAGTGGGTGGGAAATCCACTATAAGGGAAATTATAAGTATTTCTGACATTTAAAAAGTATTTTATGTTTATTACTATATTCATGCAATAAAATATTTAATTTAAACAACTTTGCATAAGATTTTTGTTACAAAGCTTTTGAAATTATTTTAGTGGAAAAATTTGCTTTGCAAAGGGTGAGTTTTTCTTTGCAAAAGGTGAATTTGCTTTGTAAAAGCAAAAGGGTGAATTTGAAGTGGAAATTTGTTCATTGTTTGCCAAGGACTGTGTCTGCCCAGTGATTTATAAGCATAGTTTTATTCCATGACTATGAATTCAATATTACTATCCCCATTTCACTTTAAATGCAAGGAATGAAAATATTCTGCAAGCCAAGCAGTTGTAATTTCCAATAAGGAAGGGTAGTAATGAAAGGACAATAAATTGCAGGGGAAAGTGGTCATGGAACTCAGAGCGCTAGTATGTCTTCAACAACATAAAACTAGAAGGAACATTGTTTCCGTTCAAGGACGCCAATTTTTTAGACAGAAACATCCCTGAAGTGGGAAAGGGCAAGTTAAGAAAACGCAAATCCGCCTTTAAACCACTTTTCCGATCCATTGGGCACTTACTGCCTATCTGAAAAGTCATAAACTAACGCCCTAGTTCATAAACATTTGGGAATTTGGTGTCTGGCTTGAGACAGCCTGAGAGGCCCAGAGTTGTCAATAATCACATGTGTCAATAATCACATGTATCAATAATCACATGTGTCAATAACCACATGTGTCAATAATCTCAACAACGGAGGCACTGGTCCCGCGGGGGCTGGGAAGGAGACGGAGGGACACTTACTCCCTGTACCGTCCAGTCTCAACTGTGGTCGCAGCGACCACGCACAGGAAACACCGCTCCCCGCCAGGCCCCTCCAAGGCTCCCGGCCGGGTCACAGGAATGACGGACGGAAGCCCTACCGGAACTTCCTGGGGACACGGCCGCACCGCGGACTCACTTCCGGGTCCCCTCTAGGCCGCTCGGAGGGCCGCCTCTCGGTGGCCC